GCCCGTAGTGGTGGTAGTAAGCCGGCTTGTGTGGGTAATACGATGGTGGGCGCGGGCGATAGTTGTGCACGTGATGGTGGTGATGGTCGTGCTTGAACGGGATCGGCTTGTGGCCGTACAAAGGTTTGTGCCCGTGGAACAGCCCTTTAAGCTTATACAGAATGGACTGGTTGGGGGTGACGTGTAAGTTGACGAAGGGCTTCACCTCCTTCTCCCCGTAGTCGTTCTTGGTGACCTGCACTGACACGAGTGGGTTCACGCTAATCAGACCGAGGTCGATGCCCCCAGGGCCCACCGACGGCCCGTATGGATTGTAGGGCGGGTGCCCCCCGAAGGGGTTCACGGGGTACCCCGCGCCCCCTCCGTTGGGAAGGCCAAAGGACACTCCGAATGTGGGGGTCAGTTTCAATTTTGAGGTGTCACCGAGAAGCCTCTGTAAACAGAAGGCATCAGAGTGTCCTCAGAGAACATAGCAATGATGGGACAGAAGATCCCTGTACTTTTCTGTAAAATTTCTTCCATTCTTTAAGCTAAGATTTTCACAATTGCTACTAATTATTAATTTTACAAATCAACTTTCAAACAGTGAAATAATGCAGAATAAGTAATAATTTGTGGTGCAACAGCAGGTATTCAAATTTCCAACTCTACTGTGCAATGGATGATATATATTACAGAGAAAAGAATGTTGTACAAGAGGCCACAGTCCAACTGTCACCAACAGTTTTAACTGCAGTTAATAAAATTCTAACTACTAAGGTTAAATGAAACCTCCATTTTGTTAGGACATCACTGCTATGCTACCCATTTCCAGAAGGAGTTTTTACAATGACATTTGTATTTTTATTAGGAGTGTCATTTGGCAAAACTTTGGTCAGGAAAGGAAGAAAAAATGATGTGTCAGGACGTCAGGTTTCATAGTACGTCAATTGTCCTATTGTTTGTCTTTTGATGTTAGAGAAATTTGAAAAATTTGCGTTTTTGTGAATGTTGCAAGAATGATTAGAAGAGAAAGAGCATGTTCTATTCCTGTTCTATTCCATTCTGTTCATTCCTGGCAAAGTTTATTTTCAATTTTGCCAAGTACTTGGGGTTCTAGTTTATGCGAAGAGAAGTATGAATGAAAAATTTTAAAACGGGGATCTCATATATCGTTTTGTGTTTGTTTCACTCGTATTTGATTCTTGTTACCGTGTACTTTCAAAATAAGTGTTGACGTTTTGTTAAAACAGAGTTGCTATCTATTTTTCATTCCATGAAATTCTACTCCGAAATCGAATATTATTTTCTACCAGAATGGATTTTTTGATAGTTATCTTAAAAAATCCAGGTCTGATTCAGTTTTCGTTGTGCGGTGGGAGAACTTCAGTGGTGCCAACTTACAGCGTCCGTTTCCGTGCCGGCTGAGTTGGTATCGCTGACGTCGCTCTTGCCCTCCCGCGAGACTTCGGTCTGGGCCACCACCTGACGCTACGGGGGCAGAGGGGAGAGAAGCGGTGCGTTAAGATGGGGGCGGTATGTACACCAAGAGCTGCATGTCTCACTCCGATCATTTTATTTTTTGTCTTGAATATTGTCTTTTAGAACTTTCTCAGAAAATATATTATGCGGGTTCAAATGTACCCAAAGCAACTAGGGCGTACGCGAAAATTTTCCAAAACCGGAACTTTGCACAGAAGGCCAGACTAAATCAAAATACATTTGTTATGAAAGCACGTTTTCCTCATTGTCCTCAGAAGAAGGACGGAATGGAATTCCGGTAAGAGAATACGTCTGCAATAGTTCTGGACTTTCATGGCCGAGAAAGATCTTTGTTTCCGTTTTGAACGGCACTGTTTCAATGGATTTACTGCAAATTATACTATTTTTACTAATTCGTTATATTTCACTCTTTAAAATCTTCTTTGAGAACATCTTTTGTAAATAAATAATTTAATTTGTGATGACGACATGAGACACACAGCTTATGGCTATTTTAATAGGCAGCATTTTCGGTTTCATTAATACTACTACTACTACTACAATCTACTAAGCGTTAGTAATAGAACTGCAAGCTAACTTCATCCCTATTAATTTACATTACGTTCTCTAATGCAGTAACTTCCAGAGTTAATGATCAGCCCATCAGATTGGTAAAATGGTTTTCAAACAAGAAGAATTAGATATTAGGAATTCGTAAATGTATTTTTTAAATATACATCAAATGACGTTTTTATTGAAGTAAATTTTCTGGAGTTCAATTAAATATCACAACTCTTTTCTATATTTTTTTGAAATTTAGCTTACGATTAGAATTAGCTGGTAACCAAAAGAAAACCAATGTTTGAAAAACCAAAAAGTCACAAAACTATTAATACTACTGTTTTAATATTGTTAAAGTTGAAGTGATGTAGACATGGGAAGGTAAACATTTTATACGAATATAATACGTAAAAAAAATACTAATTGTATGCACCAAAAAAAGTTTTTCTAGTTAACTACTAATTACTGAAAACTTAATGTATCTTAAAATATATAATTACAATGCATTTTAATATTACTACATTCAATTCACTCAATTATTTTCTTTTATAAGATATAATTATATTTCGAAGTTATTTAAAACGAAATGGAGACTGTGTAGAGATGCAATGGAACTACCTTCGGGTCTACACCACTTCCAACTCTTCACACATTATTTTTAATTTTATTTTTCATGCAGCGATACAAACAGAAACATGACTGCCAGACAATGCTTGGCTAGGACAGTTGTCTAACAAACATCAATTACATGCAGTCCTACCAGATAAAATTATTGAATACGAATGCTTTTATAATTATAATGTCTTGAATTAAGATACATCATTTAATTTGCCTTTACGGTTTAGATGTTTTTCCTTCAAATCAGGGTATTGTTTTTAAGTGGACTTCGTTTCACTGTTGTTTTTACTGCGAAATTTGTAAATTTATTCCTTACGTCTTAACTTGTGGAACAACTAATGATTTCATTATCGAAAAAACGAATGATACATTTTCAACGTGGAAGTTATAAAGATTAATTTATTTGAAAATCAATATAGGAGCCACAAAATAATTACAGTGCTGAAGGTCGTTTGTCAATTCATTTTATTTTTAGATTTAATTAAGATTTTAATTAAATGTATTTTTTAGGAACTTATTACGTAAATGTTTGACTGTTACGCGAAACCCGCTTTTATAAATTTGACACCTACAACGAAATGTGAAAGACTGAAATTGTTTATTTATGAAATTTTACCTAGGATTGTAAAATTAGACAACATAAAATTTGGAAATGTCTAAAGTTGCAACCATAGCCAAGCCGGATTACTTTTATTTAGCATTTGAATGTTTCAGTGTTGTGTCCCATTCTATTATACGGATGTGAAAGCTGACTATTAACTGGTTATTGGCTACTAATTACAGATTGTAAATTTATTTTGTTCTTAGAGATAAAAGCCTGTCCCCTAGGCATGTGTCGTCTTCTCAGATAGTACCTCGCTCAGCGCTTTCTGGCAGCCTCGTTTCCGCGCACTCGTCACCATGTGTCCGTCCCCGAAGGAAAAGAGGAAGTGCTCTAAGAAGGGATCACTTTGACAGGTCGGGAAGCAAATGATCGTCGTGCACGATAATGACTTTGCAAGAGATAGTTAGACGAAGTCATCTGCAAATGAGCTACTTGTAAACGAACGCACTGCCAAAATGAGTGCGAGGATATAACCTGCAATTATGTTGCCAAAAGTGGCCAAGCAGTAGCTGTCAAAGCGGTCCCTTCTCGTAGTAATCTCTTTTCTCATTTTTTTAAAAATTATTTTTGCGAGAGGCACTCACCGGGTCGACCTGCGCGCTGCCGGCGGGAGCGGCGGCGGCGGCGGCCTGGCGGCGCCTGCGGGAGGCGGGGGCGGGG